TTTTTGAAAGAGGATTTCACTCTGTCACCCAGGCTGGAGTGCAGTGGTACCATCTCGGCTCACTGCAGCCCCTGCCTCCCAGGCTCAAGCGATTCTCCTACCTCTTGAGTAACTAGGGATCTCAGGCAGTCGCCTCCACTGTCGATTAATTTGTTGTATTTTTTGGTAGAGACAGGGTTTCACAATGTTGCCCAGGCTGGTCTCGAGCTCCTGAGCTCCAGTGATCCACCCATTTCGGCCTCCCAGAGTGCTGAGATTACAGGCATGAACCACCATGCCGGGTCAAGATGCATTTCTTCATTGCCATTTTTCACTGCATTTTCAAGCTTTTGACTGAAAAGTTACACTGCAGTGTTCACATAGTCAGCCTCCATAAATAACATCAAAGCATTGTGTTTATGTTGTTTTGGATATGACTATATACATATAGACAGTAATATCAATCTGTAAATGTAGAGATGCACGGTGGTGCTGAAATCTCACACTGAGTTTCTTGATCAAGCAATTCAGTTATTCACTTGAGTGTAATTTATATAATGTACACTGATATTATGAGCCAGGTGGTGTTTCTGAGTAATAGCACTAGTTATATTTTATTGGCTGTGATCCAGAATATGGCAGGGCTTGCATATTAAATGGAAATGAACCACCAAACTCCTGAGTATCCAAGCATGACTTCAAATTGTAAAACCAGCTGGACGCGGTGGCTCACGCCTGTAATCCCAGCACTTTGGGAGGCTGAGGCGGGTGGATCACTTGAGTCAGGAGTTTGAGACCAGCCTGGCCAACATGTTGAAATCCCATCTCTACTAAAAATACAAAAAAATTAGCTGGGCATGGTGGCTCATGCCTGTAATCCCAGCTACTCAGGAGGCTGAGGCACGAGAATTGCTTGAACCCAAGAGGCAGAGCTTGTAGTGAGCCAAGATCATGCCACTGCCCTCTAGCCTGGGCGACAAGAGCGAAACTGTCTCAAGAAAAAAAAAATAGTAAATCCCACCATGTCGAATGAGTCCACGTTGTTCTGGGACTGTTTTTAGTTGCTTTCCTCTTACTTAATAGTATTAGGTCTTACTCAAACCCTGAATACAGTCTGGCAGTAAAGTATTTATACAGATTATGTTCTTTGGACACTATAGAATTAAACACACAAACACACAACAAAGTAAGGTGTATGGAGCCATTGCCATTGCTGTGACTACCAAATCCACAGACTGTGATGTGTTAGCCTAATGGTGGCCCTGACCTTGTGTAACTAGGTAGGTACAAATATGATTGGAAAGTGGCCGGGTAGGACTCATGGTATTTGTCATTATAAACTGTACAATATTACATTTCTTTTTTTTCTGTTTTTTTTTTTCTTTTGAGTAGTCTCTCTCTTCTTGTCCATACTAGAATGCAGTGGCACAATACCACTCACTGTAGCCTCGACCTCCTGGGCCCCAATGGTTCCCTCACCTCGGCCTCCCAAGTAGCTGGGACCACAGGCGTCTGCCACCACACCTGGCTGTTTCCTGGCTGTTTTTTGTTTTTGTGTATGTGGAGATGATGTCTCCCTATGTTGCCCCGGCTGCTCTCAAACTCCTGGGCTCAAGCAATCCTCCCACCTTGGCCTCCCAAAGTGCTGAGATTACAGGCGTGAGCCACCATGCCTGGCCTATTGTTAAATTTCCTTAAGGGAGTTTTGGAAGGAACTTCTAAAACTGTGATCATCCAATTGGTCTGTCCAGGGACCAATCGTTGTAGGTGTTTAATTGAGGCAACATTACCCCCAAATGGGCTGATCAGGAAAGATTTTGTACTTAACCTCCTCGACCTTTGTGTCTTCATCTGTAGTTAAGAAGTTTGTGTGAAACTTGGTGATCTCTGTGGCATGTTCCAGCTCTGGAAGTTCTGGTTTTCCAGTAGATCTTTGAACTAACTCACCTCCTAGAGATGAGTCCAGCTGGAATAGACAGTGTAGAAGGAAGCTTTCTGGCTGTGCATGGTGTCTCACGCCTATAATCCCAGCATTTTGAGAGGCTGAGGCAGGCGTATCGCATGAGCCCAGGAGTTGAGACCAGACTGGGTGACATAGTGAGACCCCATCTCTGCAGAAAATACAGAAATTAGCCGAGCGTGTTGACATGTGCCTGTAGTGTCAACTACTCAGGAGGCCGAGCTGGGAGGATCATCTCAGCCTAGTGAGGTCAAGGCTACAGTGAGCCGTGATCACACCACTGCACCCCAGCCTGGGCGACAAAGTGAAACCCTGTCTTTAAAATACAAATGACAATTTTAAAAAAGCCTTCTACCTCATGAAGAGACGCTTTGTGGGCAGAGGACAAAATATGTGATTTAGATGACATATGCAGGCTAGAGAGCAAAAAGGCAGATTTTGTCACTGCCTAATGGTGTGATGTTGGAAATGCCACTTAAATTCTCTTAACTCCGGTTTCCCCATTCATAAGCTACCCAGAGGTTGCTTTACAATGATTAAACGAAATGAGATGTTTAGAGGAATGTAGTAAGCTGTGAAGTATTTGCTGTTAGTTCCTGTCGATGCTGTGGCAAAGCTCTTGTGCAGCACATGGAGTCATGGCCTTCTGACTTCAAGCAAGGTCAGCCAGCAGCAGGACTGGCCACGTGGGAGCTTCAGGGCATAGGATGTTCCACCAGCCTTGGCCACGAGACAGTGGGTACGGGTGACTGCTGGTTCTCACCCCTTGTTACTTTTTCTCCTGAAATTACAGAGGGTCAGAGATGTAGTCGCCCACAGATTTCTTTAGGAAGTTTTCCTGTCAATGTAGTTTGCCTTTGTAGAGTTGCCTTAAAGGAAGCCCATCAGTACAGTGAAACGTATATGCACCCCCAATGCACTTGTCACACACAAAGAAAGCCTTTTTAAAAGCACATCTAGTCAGTGTGGTATTTGAAAGTCTAGGAAGAACTATCCCTTATGAAATAAACCGGATGCAATAATGTGCTCTGTGATTGTAAACACTTTTGAAATTACCTTTTTCTTATTGCTGGTGTTTAATGCCCATCAGTGAATTACTTCTTCCAGGTTGGCTCTGTTCATGTGGAGTTTGAGGAAGTGGTTAATAGGATGTTCCCTCTTTAGGACTGCTAAGTTAAATAAAGTCAACTCCAGAGTACACAACATTTGTAGCAAAATAATGTTGAACCTTATAGCTCTTTGGTTTCCCTATCCCCTTATTTCATTTGCCCTTTAGTTGATTGTACTTTACTAAAAATGTCATAAAGGGAATGGAAAGTTACTTAGTAACAACTCTTTTATATCCTTGATCTTATCAGCTCGTTCAGGAGAAGGGCTTGGCTAATAAGTAATAAGATGGTGCATGCACATTTGGCTGTCTATATTAATTCCATGCCTATGAATGTGATTGAGAAAAACCACATAGAAAGTGGAGGTCTGTAGCTTTCAAAAAATCAGTTGTTACCACCCTTATAGAAATCCAAATCATTAGGAATGTATGTAGTTATAATTTTTTTGTTTGTTTGTTTGTTTATGAAAGGGGTTACAGGTCATATTGTTCACAGAGATGATTATAAAATGCTTATTTTTTATGACTTACAAAAGAAAGCTTAGAATATTCATTAGAAATGTCTTATCATTGAACACTTGGCATTTTTCTGTTTCACGATTCTAAAACAGTGATGACGCTGATCATGGCATTAATGAAGTGCTGATCTACTATATTTTTTAGTTTAATGTGCCTGTTGATTCGGTTAAACAGTATCATCATTCTGATCTGACCTCTTTTTGGTTTTTTTCCCATTCCCTCCATTTTTGCCACTTCCACTTTGCAAACATCAGATCCGAGATGAGTGGGGCAATCAGATCTGGATCTGCCCTGGGTGTAACAAGCCTGATGATGGGAGTCCCATGATTGGCTGTGACGACTGCGATGACTGGTACCACTGGTGAGTGCCCAGGGCGCCCTGCCGGCCGCATGCATCAGGCAGCTCAGCCTCTCCTGAGACAAAGCGTCCACTGAGTAGATTCCTGCCTTTGGACTGACCCAGGGCTGTCCTAGGGACAGTACATGGAGTCAAAGCACAGAGCCCTGTGAAATGCAATTAACTGCAAAACCCAAGAGTCTTTAGACTATTGTTATTCACCCTGAATTCTGAACATTCTGCTTAGCTTATCTATCCTTCTTATGAAAAATAATAATACTAAGAGGAGACCCAGGGGCGTCCCTGACCTTCCTTTCCGGTAATGTTCCCTAGAAGCTGTAGCACTGGCCAGGGCCACGAAGAGGCTGCCCCTTTGTAAGGATGGTACAAACTGCAGGACTAAAGACTGCTTAACTTTTTTAAACCTCTTCAGCGGTTCCTAAAAACTGAAAAGCTCAACCAAAATTTTTGCAGATAATCTTCTCGTGTTATCTTTAAAATGTCAGATACAAAAAGATAGCAACCTGTTCAGTTATGATATACGATATCTGTGAGATAAAGACAAAGCCGTGGCTCAGAAGCCTCCTCTTCCTGGCTGAAAGGAGGAATGAACTAATGAATCTCTGCAGGGGGGCGTGTAAAGGGCGCGTCTGTGATATCCTAGTCTGCATGCCCAACAGCAGTGCTGCTTGGCTTTGATTTCGGGTAAACATGTCATAGACTTTAAAAAGTACTTTAAAACAGAAGGGAGGAGAATCGACCGTATAAAAGTTGCTTATCTGAGCTTGCTTTCATGTGTAGGCCCTGTGTGGGAATCATGACTGCACCCCCAGAAGAGATGCAGTGGTTCTGCCCCAAGTGTGCGAACAAGAAGAAGGACAAAAAGCACAAGAAGAGGAAGCATCGAGCGCACTGACGGCTCCCGAGGGGCTGGACCAAGCGGGGTCAGCCCAGGCTTCCTCCCTGGCGCCCCTGGAAGGGAGCTGGTGCAGTTCTGCCATCACCTCCAGCCAGATGCCTGTGGATAAAGAACCCGGGAGGACTGCGGCTGGAACACACCGCGCACCTGCATTGTTCACTCCCCAGCCGCGTTGGCCTGTGGCTCCGTGGCAGTGCGACAGAAGGAAACTGGAGCAGAGGCGTGGCCTGGGGGCTGCCCCTCCTCCGCTTCTCTAATACCAGTGACAAGTATTATTAATAAAGAGCGTACATCTTCCCTTTTGATTTCCTTTATTCTCTCCAGGGCCTTTTCATTGAGGTATTAGATGAGAAGATAATGTACAAACTGCCTCAACTGTAATTTAAGGATGATAGAGTCTGTATACAGTTTTCAGCCCCTTTCCCTCTATAGTAAGATCATCAGAATAACAGAAAAGAAAACTCCAGTGGGAGTACCGGTAAATATTTTTGTGATAAGAATATATGAAGCTTCCCTCCTTCCCCCGTTTTTAGTACTAACATGTAAAATGTTCAGGCTTTTGTGAAATACCTTATATTTTTTAAGAAAAAGGTTTCTATCATGTCCTGTTTGCTTTTGTGCAAATTATTTTTGTTTCATGTATTTTATATCTTTGTTGCATTCTAATTTTGCCCTTCTTTAAACTGCTGGAGTCTCTTCTCACTGCTTGTACATTTCATCAACTTGTATAAAAACTCTTCAGACTAAAAGATTGCCCCTAATGTAAATAATAAATATTTATGAAGTAGTTATTTTTTAAATTTTTATCGTGTTTAATTCTGGCTTTCTCTGAAATCCACGGTGATTTCAGCCAGGTCTGTAATGACGCTGGACAGAAACAAAGAAGGCTAAAGAAAAAGCCATCGTTCAAAGAAATTTCCCTTGAGCTCAACCTGTGCAGTGCCCGAAAATATCATGGGGGAAAGGGCCCGAGCAGTTGGAAGGAAAGCAAGGCAATTTAAATTTAGAGTTTATGATTTGAAGGTGTTTCGTTTGTTGTCTGTTTTGTTTTTGTAAATTTCTTTGACAGACTTTTACTAAAAGGACATGTAGTTTCCATGAAAGTAAAAAAAAAAAAAAAAGAAAAAAAAACCCCACATATACTGTAGCATTTTGTCTTTATATTGTTTTATTTCTACAAATCTGTTCATTAATATTGTGCTTTAAGGCTGAAATGAAGTATATTATGAATTTTTTTAAGAAAACTCATCAAATTTCAGGGTATCACAAAACTTTATTATATTATTATACTGCCCACTATTTATTATATGTTATAGATGTCTGAGAGGTAAACCAAATATTTTATTTTTAATGTTAAAAAAACATCAAATTTAACTTTATTAGCATATTTTAGCAACTTTGGAATAAATATGGACTTTTACTTGATATTGAAATAATCCCAGTGTAGGCCCATGTACTGGATCTCTTGGATGCTAGAATATGGGCTCTGAACCTAATACAAATATATTACTAGAAAATGTGATTTTTTTAAATGCCAAGTAAATTGATATTAGTGTATGGATTAGTCATATTTTAAAACATTATGTGGTTAGAGAAATGCAGTTTTCTGCCGTGAATGTGAAGTTGCAAATCAGTGGAAATGGAGTCGACCTCTTCAGAGTGCAGGGTATCATTGCCCTCCTTGTTCAAGAGGCCCGAATTTTTCTATCCCTGCAAAGAAACAAAGCATCTATGTTGAGATATGTGTTTTTTTGTTTTATTAATTTGAGATCATTCTAAATACTTTATACAATATTTTCACATGCACAAAAATGCGCGTTAGTGGTTTTTGGAGAGGGGTGAGGGGTGGGGGAAGTGCAAAATAAAGATTATTGGCTATTTCATAGTTTGCTTTTCCATTTTCTTTATTTAGGATTTAGTTCCTTGAGGCATGGTCCATGATCTGAAGTTGCCACGTTTAAGTGAGCAGGTCATGCTACTGAAACCAGAATGGAGGTGCTTGTCTATAACTTTCCCCCGATCTTCCTGTCTGAGACTTCAGCCCATGCTACATTCAAGGAATTTCAATCAGTTTGTTGTCCCTTGCTATTTCATGGTTGCTTTCCTAAATCCAGTTCATGATTTTATAAATGGTCTTTGCAATAATAAAACCAAAGAATCATTTTCAGGGGGCTGGAGAGCTCGAGGGATTAGTAATGGAATACAGAGCCTTTCACCTCTAGGTCAGTGAGTCGGATCCAGTCCAGGTCACTAGAGACCAAAAGTTGTCACCATCTTATGACTGTTCAGTGGCCTGTGTGAAATGAACTGGTGGTCTCAGCCTCTACTGGGTGGCTGGCTGTGACACCAACCAAAGGAAGTTCAAGAAACTGCAAAAAGAAATGTGGATTAGAAAATAAAACGTCTATGTTACAAAGAAAAAGTTAGAAAGTTGGGCATAGTCATTTTCCAGAAAGTAATACTGAAGGAAAAAGAGCAACTTACAAATACCACAGACAAACGGAGATTAATTTACTTTCTTTAATGAAGTCAAGCAAAACCGGAAAAGAAAAGCCTGCATTGGGCGAGAGGGGAGGAGGGGGTTAAGTGGGGTGGATGATTTGATCAGGAGAAAAAGTTTAGGGGCCCAAACTTTAGGAAAAAATGGGTTTTGACTTTTGAGGGAGAAGGAAATCGCAAAAGGCAGCAGCAATTTGAGGAACTACTGTAGCAGAATTAGATACAAAGGAATGAAAAGTATTTCCCTTTAGAGAATTTGCAGTTTTCCAGTTGGAAGCAGAATCCTGACTGGTTTTAATTTAGCCCAGCACTATCATTTGAATAGCATCAATACTTTATAAAGACAAGTAATGGCGGGGGCGGGGGGAGGGAGGGGGCGCGGGGATTGTCCTGACCAGTGATTTTATTGAGGGAGATGGTATTTGAGAAACAGACCCTCACCTCATGAAATCGAGACACCCTTCTGGTGTGATAATCTGCCGTCAGAGCCAGATGGAACTGGCAGAGCTTAATTTCCGTGGCTGACAAGGTGTTTCTCTTCCAAAGGTGTCTACAGTGAGGCACAGTGAGGATCTTTATCCCCTGACTGATTTGTGGTTCCAAACGTTCTGGAGAAAACCAGAGGCTATCAGAGTATTCTGACTTTGTCGGGCTTTTTTCAAAGATAAAATATAGTGTATTACTCTCCTGTATCACCTAAACCGCCTTTGTTCTCCTTTCAATGGGATGATTAAACAAAGACCTACTAACCAAATTGAAGTATAAAATGAACACTGAGATATGGAAACCTTGCCACTAAGAATGCTAATGAAGAAAGTTCACGAAAGCCATGCTGGCTAAGTTCTCAATACAAATAGTTTTATGGCCAATCTCTTTAGATCATAGCAGCTTTCTTTAGAAGTGTAAGTCTAAAAGTAGATGAGTTACCTTGACCAAAGAATGCAACAGATAATGTCCTGAATAATGTCTTTTTCCACAATGGTATCAGTCATTCTGTTAGGAAACTATTTCTTTGAGAATCTTGCGTTCATTGTAGCCTAAAAAGTATAAAGTAACTATTAATCCATGTGTGCAGGCCAGTAGATGACATCGAAATGAGATGTTTAGGTGGACAGCTTGTTCATTTAGTCTACATATGAGTTACTAAAATGGCTACTGGTTATTTTTTTCATTCTGGGCAACTCAGTTGTAAATTTAGTTTGAAGGACATTGTTAAGTGGTTTCATTCATTTCATCCACATTGGCTAGGTACATTTTATGGAAATGGCAGTGATGTATCAGAACCAAGCTCATTTCCAGTTGTCCGGTTTCTCATCTGCTCTAGCCCTTCCTCTGGCTCCATGATTCTGGAATCATTCCCAAAGTATACTATGTATTAAAGTGTATTGCATCAAATTCTAAGTGTATTCCATATTACTCTTTTCCCACTTTTCCATACATAATCTTTCCATCTTAGGCTGCAACTATTTTTTAATGTTACTAGAGCTTCATGCTTTTAAATTTTACATTCATAACAAAACAAGAACTTAGCAAATGTTTGCATTAACTATCCTAGGAACTAGCAGAGTAGACATGATATTAGAAAATACATGTAGATAGATACATACACCACAAAGTTTAAATGTGTTGGGCTTTCAGAACAGAAGTTCATTTTAGGTGCATAGCCCTAAGCAATCATTTCCTACCATATCCTTAGAACCTAGTCAGTATTTTCACCTTTCGAAGTTTCGTGGGGTTTTTTTGTTTTTGTTTTTGTTTTTTTGTTTTTTGGTTTGGTCTTGTTTTTGATTAATGAAACATTCAGAATAGGACTATCGTTTAAAAAAAAAAAACCACAAACCTGAAGAATGTCATTGTTATTATCCTTAATGAGTTAACTATTGCCAAGTTAAATGGTTTGAAGAAAATGTTTGTGCTGATCTAGTTAACTCATTCAGAGCATCAGAAGTACTTACCAGAGGAAGTTCAAATCATCCAAAAATATTATCAAGTTATATTTTGATTATTTCTTATTATACTGTTTGGGATGTTGATGAAACTTTTTTCTGCTAGCTTTTAGAAAGTGAATATTTGTTTATTTATTTATTTATTTATTTATTTATTTATTTATGAGACAGGGTCTTACTCTGTCACCCAGGCTTGAATGCAGTGGTGTAATCACAGCTCACTGTGGCCTCGACCTCCTGAGCAGCTGGGACCAAAGGCATGTGCCACACATCTTGTTAATTTTTATTTTTTTGTGGAGACAGGGTTGCCCAGATTCACGTCGAACTCCTAGGCTCAAGTGGTCCTCCTGCTTCCACCCAAAGTATTGGGATTATAGGCATGAGCCACTGCACCAAACCAAAAAGTGATTTTTTTTTTTTTTTTATTTTTTTTTTTTTGAGACAGCGTCTCCCTCTGTTACCCAGGCTGGAGGTCAGTGGTGCGATCTTGGCTCACTGCAACCTCCGCCTTCTGGGTTCAAGTGATTCTCCTGCCTCAGCCTCCCCAGTAACTGGGACTACAGGCACCTGCCACCACACTGGCTAATTTTTTGTATTTTAGTAGAGATGAGGTTTCACCATGTTGCCCAGGGTGGTCTCGAACTCCTGAGTTCAGGCAATCCGCCCGCCTCAGCCTCCCAAAGTGCTGGGATTACAGGCTTGCACCACCGTACCCAGCCAAAAAGTGAATTCTTTAGAGCTGATTTCTTGATAGCTAATTCTTCATCTTCCCTTCATTTTGTTTATTTTGACATTGTTATTTACAACATTCACAAAAACAAATATTAGGCCCAGGATGTCCCACACTCAACAATATTCATACATTTCTCTAAAAAATGTTCATCAGTCACCGCTCTGAGCAAGACACATCGTGCACTGTGGGGATACAGCGGTGGAGGAGACAGCGTGCCCGGGGCTGCAGAGAGCCGCCACAGGCTACGTGCCCAAAGGCAGGACACGCCTCAGAAGCGGGTGCAAACCAGAAGTGCATTGAAAGGTGATTGTTTTTCACTTCAGTTTGACCAATGTTCGGCTGTAGGTCAACGAGACTAAGGAGATAGCACAAAATGTAAAGCAACATTAAACATAAGGATACATAGGATTCTGGCTGGGCGCAGTGACTCACACCTGTAATCCCAGCACTTTGGGAAGCTGAGGCCGGTGGGTCACCTGAGGTCAGGAGTTCAAGACCAGCCTGACCAACATGGTGAACCCCTATCTCTACTAAAAATACAAAAATTAGCCAGGCATGGTGGTGGGTGCCTATAGTCCCAGCTACTTGGGAGACTGAGGCAGGAGAATCGCTTGAACCCAGGAGGCAGAAGTTGCAGTGAGCTGAGATTGTGCCACTGCTCTCCAGCCTGGGCGACAAGAACGAAACTCCACTTCAAGAATAAAAAGAACACCTAGAATTCCCTGTATAGCAAGTTTTTAAAGAGACGGAACCACACTCTCTTATTTGGGGATGCATGCAATGATGGGAAAGCAAGAGTCCCTAATAAAAGTGAATGTGGCGGCTGCCTCTGGGAAGAAAGGGAGTTCTGATGGGGAGGAGTGAGCAGGCTCAGGGCAGCTTCCCAGGGACAGGGAACACCCTGCCCCTTGACCTGGGCAGTGTTATACAAGATTCTCTTTATATCTGTTTGTTAA